TTTATTCAGGCTTCAAGCTGGCTTTATTCATTATGCTGTTTTTCAGGCTACTTTTAGGTTTCAAGCTGACTTTATTCAGCGTTCTTTCAATTATATCTAAGATTATGCAATCAAGAATTTCTTTAGTATACAAATAGAGTGCTCTTATCCCTGTAATATGAAGTGCATCTACGATTTACACCGGCGATTTACGACATGAGACTAGAATAAATGCTTGAAGATTAAGTTCTAGAAGTTTTCATATTCCAGTAACAGATCTAGTTGGTACTTTGGAACAGCTGACAAGTTCCTTTCTCGCAGCAAGTGAGTTTCTCCGAGCTAATTCCCAGTTGACGTTATTTATAGGCCTCTCAACGAGTTCGGAGCGGCAAAACCCGCTGTCACAGAGTGTAGGAGGAATGAGTTTTTGCAAATGTAATGTGTTTGCATTCATCATGAAAGAACAAAGCCTGCGTGTGGAATTCTTGCTAGACCGGGGTAAGACATAATTTTGGCTAACGGGTGACAAATGGCTAAACATTTCAATGAGGCCATGTTAAGAATTTTCGGGATACGGGATGTTAAGGTTAATATTTAACTGGATACAGGATATTTGGGGAAACATTTATGGGATTAGGGATAGATCAGATGAGAAGGGATATCGAGTGGAAAAATTGTTCATTTTAGTTAACGGAATAGAGGATATTTAGGACAAAAAAACGGGGTTTGGGGTACCATTCACCTTTCCATCTGGATCTCTTTGACTGACGAAAGTGTTAACCTGGCCTTCTTTATTGAAAACTACCGATAATTGGCCGAAATCGTCTAGTTGATTAATCTTGCTGGTGTTCAACTTCAACATTTTTATAGACAACGACAACCGACAAACAGATGGGCCATTATTTACTACAAGAAATTTTCTCATTGAACTTCTTCACCGCACAGCTCCGCTTCAGTGGAATACGAGAGATTAACCTTGGTGCTTTAACATAACCGCGGGAATATTTATTGCTTTAATTTAAAGTAAAGCAAAATTTGATCCTTTGTGTGTTTTCCCTATCTTATTGCCCAACAGCCGAAACGATATTGACTTATCGACATTTTTGGCGAGTCATGTACGTACAGTGACAAAAAGTTTAATTGTATGAGGCCAAGCCGAGTGCATTTAAAACACTGGCTCGATTGATACCTCAGTTCGCCGTATCTTATACAACAATTAACGTCTTCATCCTTCTCACAAGAGGCAAACGCTTCGAAATCGTTTAATAATGCATTATACCAGTTATAGATTTGTTTTCTTCACAAGCGAATTAACTGATGTAATCCATCTCCAGATTCTGCCCGAACTGAGCAAAAAACGTTTGCCGCCTCTTCTGAAACTCGTGTTTGCTATTTTGTTGCCGCAAAGCTCGGCATAAATCGGCTTTAATCCCCTCATGGATGGTAGCTGGTCAACAATATCTTTAGTAATAGTGTGGGTTTGCTGTTTACATGGTAAGAATTTCTCAACGATAAATATTTTTCTTCTGCGAAGGTTGCTTTTGTAAACAAAAGTGTTTTTTGGCCATCCCATCTCGGCAGGCAAATATTTATCGTCTAGTTAACTAATTTTGCCCCTCTACCGTAAATCTAAGGTCTATGTTTGAACAGGACTTAAGTTTTGGATTCCATTATCTGTCTACGCTTGATAAACTTCTTGTTAGTTCAACTTGTCGTTAACTGCTGGTGGACAGACTGTTATCGTCAAGTTGCATTTGCAAAACGCAAACAACCATCTTGAACCAAGACACTTGGGTTTTATAAAATAATCTAGAAAATGACAGTTAAACAAAATAGGGACTGAATTGACTTCTATGACTGCGTTAAGTGAATAAAGCTAAAAAAAAAAACATACACAGTGCATTCGCTTTAGATGTTTAACTATTTTTGCATGATGCCGGCTCTCTTATAGCCCTGGTCACTCGAAATCTATGAGTTGTTTCCTTGAAGTTAACAAATGTTGACCCCTCCTCAGAAATCCAGGGAGCCCCAAATCCCAGCTCATCCAAGAGCGCTGAACCACCGGGTGCTATGAAAGTGGTAAGATGATATTTAATCTTTTCTAAGTTTTACAAAACGTGTGGTATCTAACAAGTAAACCTGTACGGAGGAGCAAAGCTGCAACAGGGACGCAGAAACTCTAACGAACTAAACTAAACGGCTTTCTTGCTAGGGTAAAA